GAACTTTCTGGCTATTTTCCCCTTTGCAAAACCTTGCTTCTTTCATCATATTGCAGGCGTTGCAAAATGTCTTGCACTTGAGTACACAGGGCAGTTGTTTGTGCACCTAACTATTATATCATAGAAAGAGGGGGAGGGAAGTAGGCAGGCAGGCAAGCAAAACACACACACACACACACACACACACACACACACCTCTCTTATTGGACAAACCTTATCACCCTTCACAGCCAATCAGAACTGCTGAGGAGTTACAATCTGCCAACCAGCTTGAAGTGGAGGAAGAGGGAAAGAAATTTAGGGGAAGAGTTAACTAGTAGCATTGCGTGAAAGATATAAAAAGTTTCCGCGTGGCAGAATTCGCCCCGTTTGGCTGAAGCCACCTCATCCATTCACAAGAATTTCTGGGAGAGGCAGTGAAGATCCACCAACACGGTACGTGCAAATGTGTTCATGATGGCTCTTGGGAAACTAGGCAACAGAGAAAGGGATGTTTGTAAATAAGAGAAAGTCTGGATACTCCCGGAGATGGGTGAAAAAATAAATCCTTCTCAGTTTAAAACGGAGCCTGTCTAGCTCCTACTGAAGGATAACTCCTTATATTGACGGAGAAAGGTTGGAATCGATTCAACAATCGCTCAACCCATTTCTAAACTGTGTTAAAGCCTCCGGTCCCTCAGAAAGCTACGTTCAGGACGAGAGCGAAGGTCTTCAACTCCAAACGTTTTCATTTGTTACACAAATGCAGAGGATTTTGTTCTTCCTACTCAAGCTACGGATTTGTTATTTAGAATCCATCAACTCTTCTTGCGTCTGAAAATTGTTTCACTGAGTATCTTCCTCTCCGATGTAGAATCTCCTTTCTCTTACTAAATCTCACTCGAGGGATTTCACGGCTTCGAAGCCGTTAATGAAATGTCTCTCTATCCAGAATAAGGATACAGTCCCGGATCCCTTAATATCTTTAAGAAATCTTGCTCCAATTATGCAAGAAGTTAGTCCTATTAAAAGCAACCTAGATCTTTGCCACGTCAGGAGTAGGCGGATCCCCATGTAAACATGGAGGGAATATAAAACAGAAGATTGGTCTCAAGGAGCTCCTTTGGGGGCTGGGCAGATTGCTGAGATGTGGTTAATAACTCTCTTTTGGGGCTTCTACCATCATAAACTGGAGGGACCGATCTATGGCTCTGCAGATATTGCTGGAGTAGATTCCCCAGCATTTCTGCTATTAACAATGGAGCAAAGGAGTGGAATGACCGGTCCTTCATTGTAATGATATGCAATCTTCATGAGATGATGACACTCTTGGAATTTGGAGAATTTATTTATTGGATTTATAGAATCTTGTGAGCACTCTTCCACATACCATGAGAGAGGATGTATGTAGTATTGACGAAGTGGCTGCTCTAAGCAATGACAGCCAGTCCCAAAAGAGTCATTTACCCAAAGGCGACCTGGTGGAGTTGTTCATATTCCCCAGTAAGCATACATTTAAATCCCACAGTGAGTAACATATTACCCTTCAGGTATTGTTGGACTCTAGCTGCCATCAGTCTTTCCTATGACCGTGCCATCTTGGACTTATGAGAATTAGAGTTGACAACATTCGTGTTACCTAACTGTGCTTCCAAGCAAGGTAGTTGTAGAGTAGGTTGAAAGAATGCTTCAGATGTAGCTCAATGTTCATCCAAGATTTCAGGCAAACATTCATTAAGGCTATGAAACGTGCCCTGTTAAGTCAAGGACTTACAAAAATCTATTGGGAAAGCTGATTTACTATTGGGATGAGAAAATCCTATTATCTTCTGTACACAAAGAAAGTTCTTAGTTCTTACTGTCTGCCAAAACCAGGAGAGTGGCCATGTGTGTTCTGAAATGCCAGGAAGACAATAAAAAGTAATTTAAAAGAGTCATCTTTGGCTGGATGAAGAACACAGCTAGGCTTCCCGTGGCTGCATCAGGACCACTTTTCTCTCAAAGGTGTCCATCAGGGACATGGATTTCCAAAGATTTTAGGAGCTCTGGAGGAGAATGCTTCTTCAGCCCCTCTTGTTTCCCTCATTGCTGCTTTGATGCCATCTTTTTCTCTACTACTGCTGCTATTTATCCATTATACAAACAATGAGAAAATTCAATAGTAGGGAAGAAAATATTGCTCCACTTGTTATCTTCAAACACCAACCCACGCGTTGGAAGAGGGTATGGCGGTTATTCTTCAATGAAGAGCCTGAAGAGACATCAAAGATAAACCAGTCTTTTCTATTAAAACCGCCCTCTGTCTTTGTCCAAGCCATGACTGCTTACTGCACAACGCACCAGGTTTCAAAACAGTCCACATCTTCTCCTACCGTATTATCTTCTTTAGTTCATTATTCCAGCTCTAAAGAT